TGATGAGTAGATTATTGTATTATGTTCTGGTAAAAACCAGTTTGTGTTCAGCCTGTTTATTGGTGGAGTTTGATATGGTAAACATTACACTGTAAAAAAAATAATCCTTTAAAAAAACGGTAAACTACTGGCAGCTGTGGTTGCCAGCATCATACTGTTAAAAATCCGTTACTGTTTTTGAAATTAACAGCTAAATACCGTATTATCAGCTACATTATAAAACTTTAATAAAACAGCTATATGCTCTAACACAAAAACAGTAACACACCGTATAGTTACGGTATGATGCTGGCAACCTCAGCTGCCAGTAGTTTACCATTTTTTTTACATGATTATTTTTTACAGTGAGAACTCGTTTCAGGCAGTTCAGAAATGGTTGACAATAACTATTTATTGTGGCTTTGATCTTTTGAAACTTTACAGACCTTTTACATTTGTACACCATTATATTACAAACTACATTAAGGGTAATACCTGAAAAAGCATAATAGGGTCACTTTAAGGAGGGACCTGAAATGAATTCTACACCAGAATGTCATAGAGACTGGGCTCTTTAGACTTTAGCCAGCAACCGTCTGTCCTGGTACAAATAACCTAGAAAACAAACACATTGAATGTCTTAGAAACAACATAACAAAACCCTGGCAAGCATCCACAACACTGTTATTCTAATCTTTCATATATTTGTATGTATCAGTAACAGCATATGAATGGAAGAAAAACAATAACGGTTGAACGCAAGTTATTTCCCTATCTGCTAATTTGAGCCTACAACCTGCAGTACTGCATGCTCTTGTAATAGTGAATGCTCTGGCAGTCTAGCTGCCAAAAGTAGCAGTGTTCCAGACCACAGCCCTCTCTCTCTCTTACTCTTTCTGCTGCCAGTCATATTTCATGAAGGTTCCATTTTGTATGAGATTCCATGCAGAGGTGAATTCTTAAGCAATACCTATCTTAAATTAGTCTGTTTCAATTGATAAAGTGAGAACAGTATAGGCTTGTTCACTTCGCTGAAGCAAATCCTATAAAGCATTGTGACAAGTTCGATGAAAAAAATCCATCCCAGTTGGCGGACAAAGCAAGATAAATGTTGAATGTAATTTCTTTAATGCGAAATGTAGCAGTTGTTATAGACTTTTTGAAATTCTCATTATTGACCTTTGTTTAACTCTTTTTGTGTTGTTTATTTGTATGCGTGTACGAGTATCATGTAATTAAGTTAGCATCATGCTGACATAATCTACAGAAATCAAATATGGTGAGCTGAAAATTGTGCAATTTCTTAGCATGACCTAGACAACCAAATCCTCATCAGGAGAATTGCTGCCAATAAAAAAGTAGACAGAGACCAAAGACAGTCGAGTCCGAGTCAAGAACGAGACCAAAGAGAGTCGAGTCTGAGTCCAGACCGAGACCAAAGACAGTCGACTCCGAGTCAAGACTAAGACCAAAGAGGGTCGAGTCCGAGTCGACCGAGACCAAAGAGAGTCGAGTCCAAGTTGAGACCAAGACCAAAGAGAGTCGAGTCCGAGTCGAGTCCAAGACCAAAGAGGGTCGAGTCCGAGTCAAGACCGAGACCAAAGAGAGTCGAGTCCAAGTCGAGACCAAGACCAAAGAGAGTCGAATCTGAGTCCAGACCGAGACCAAAGACAGTCGAGTCCGAATCAAGACTGAGACCAAAGACAGTCGAGTCCGAGTCGAGACCAAGACCAAAGAGAGTCGAGTCCGAGTCAAGACTGAGACCAAAGAGAGTTGAGTCCGAGTCAAGACCGAGACCAAAGACAGTCGAGTCCGAGTCGAGACCAAGACCAATGAGAGTCGAGTCCGAGTCGAGACCGAGACCAAAGAGAGTCGAGTCCAAGTCGAGACCAAGACCAAAGAGAGTCAAGTCTGAGTCGAGACAGAGACCAAAGACAGTTGAGTCCGGGTCAAGACCGAGACCAAAGAGAGTCGAGTCCGAGTCGAGACCGAGACCAAAGAGAGTCGAGTCCGAGTCGAGACCGAGACCAAAGACAGTCGAGTCCGAGTCGAGACCGAGACCAATGAGAGTCGAGTCCGAGTCGAGACCGAGACCAAAGAGAGTCGAGTCCATGTCGAGACCAAGACCAAAGAGAGTCAAGTCTGAGTCGAGACAGAGACCAAAGACAGTTGAGTCCGAGTCGAGACCAGAGAAGTTGGATAACCTATGGTTGGGTCTCAAACCAGACTTAAAGATATCTTCAAGAATATGTAAAATATTTGGTAGCAACAATAAAATTGGCACCATACTGTAAACCAAATATACCATGGAATCATGTACACTGTAATGGTAAAAAGGCCACATAGTGGTATAAAGGTAATTTTATTATATTTATGACTTACAATTATTACAATCAGTAAGTGCTCTTTCACATAACATTACTGCACACAAATTCTGTGTGGCTCTTCTCTGCAAACTAAATTATGGATGATAAGGCATTTTCGATACATAGTTGAGCTAGAGGCTCCACATCACATCTGACCTGGGTCCTGCTGCATTTCCGTGCCACAAACGTTATAGTCTCAAGACATGCGCAGTTGCCCACAAGAAAGTCAGCAATCATCAGTAATAATCATGACATATTTTGAATGGGACTCGAGTGGACTCTGGAATAAGTCTGAGTCCTAATATGTTCGAGTACGAGTCAATTCGGAGTCAAAATGCACACGAGTCCATGACAAGACCGAGATTATTAAAATATAGTCTCGAGTCAGAGTCTCGAGTACACAACACTGATCAATCAATCAATCATCCATCCATCCATCCATCCATTAACCCTTCCTTCCTTCCTACCTAACTTGTCAGAATATATGGTTTCAAATCCCCGATTTCACCACTAGTGTGGCCTTTTTTTAAAGACCCGGATCCAGTACCACATTTCCCCAGTACTCACAAGTTTTAAGAAGGCAGGTCCACTTCCAGGTCTCACAACCTAGCCGTAAAGGTGCTTTACAGGTTTATTCACAGATTAGCTTCGGCCCTCTGACATGTATGATTAACCCAAAGGAGTGCTGCTTGATGTGGAAGTTGTTTTTCCCGCAGGCCAGAGAAGATCAATAGTCTTTGAAGTATGTTTGTGTGTTTGTTGGGTGTGTGGGCGAACAGGCTTTGCAGGAGAAATCAGACCTGTAAAGTAGTCTGATGTTGGCTTGTTCTGATATCTGACCTCTGGTGAAGTGCTACTGATCGTTCACTATATCCCTACATATACATGTGCATTTGTTTTGCATTTGCATACATTTGTGGATGTGTGTGCATGCCCCCGGAGCATGTGTAGGTGTGTGTTTTGCTGTATGCAGGCTCTCTGTGTTTCTCCACTGGGTCATAAGAGCAAAACTCAGACCTGCTCTAAATGTGTCCCAAATGATTCCTTTGACTGATGTATAAATTGATGTACACACTTCTGGCATACACACTTCTTTACATTCTATTCCATAGTATTTTTAGTTTCTTTCTAGTTTTCTCTCTGGTTTTCTGCTCTGAGAAATATGATAGATCTTTGTCCATCATTGAACCAACCTGGGGGAAAAAAAACATAATCAGTTTTATATTTTTAATCATTCTTGATGTATTCTTAAAACAAGATAAAAAGTTAAAAAAGGCTTAAAGTACTTTTTTTAGTACTTTTAAGTAACCTTTTTTTAGTAATACACAATACACACGTACACACACGCCTGCATTTTGTGTCAGATTTATTTTGCCAATGGGGTAAATTGTTTTATATAGTATATATATCCTATGTATATATATATATATATATATATATATTATATATATATATATATATATATATATATATATATTATAGTATATTATATCCTATGCAGGTTTGTTTCTGAAGTAAATCTATTTAAGATGTTTATATTGTTGATCCATCCATTCGTTCATTGCTGCCTTTTTCACCCTAGTTTTGCTATTGTTTTGATTCAGCCATCTTTAACTCTAAGATCAATATTCCCAGTCAAAAATGGTCTTTTACTGTCATCTGAATGTATGTTGTTGTGAGTCATCCTGTTTTGGCGTAGATTGGGTAGTTCTTTTATGTTTGTAAAGCAATTTAATAATAACAATAGTGCATTTACATTTATGTACCCTTCATTTAGCAGATTCTGTTGCCCACAGAAATAGACAATAATTTTGGAAAAATAAAAACACAAAAGATTAATCACAAGAAGCCAGCAATTTTAGCAATGCCACAATACAAACATTTGATTAAATGTCAGTTTACAATCCAGTTCTTATTTGAAATGGGAGAACTGATGTGAATAGAGTGTTGAACAAAAATAAAGAAACCAAAAGACTGATTGATGGACAAAGAAAGCACATGGCCAAACAGACGCACAGAGGAAAAGTCAGACAGACAGACAGACAGACAGACAGACAGACAGACAGACAGACAGACAGACAGACAGACAGACAGACAGACAGACAGACAGACAGACAGACAGACAGACAGACAGACAGACAGACAGACAGACAGATAGATAGATAGACAGATAGATAGATAGATAGATAGATAGATAGATAGATAGATAGATAGATTACTTTAGATTCAGAAGGATTACTTTTTAAAGTTAGATAGCTAGGACTATTTTTTAAAGAACCACAAGCAAGTTTTTGAAAATCAAAAAGTCCATAGATTCATTCATTCATTGCTCTATTCATTCGCTAAAGGTCTTGTCTATTCAATTCAGTCAATTAAATATCAATACCCATCATTTTTTCAGCTCTGCAAACACATGCACAAACAACAGAAGTAGCTTAGACATAGAGACATGTTAGTTTAGACACTAATCGCAGTTTCATAGAGTAATGGAGACATTATTGAAAGGTCGTTGTGACCGTTCATCCGTTCAGAATTAGCTTACTGTCGGGCTGTTTTCGCACGCTTTCAGTCCATTCAGGAGCGAGCGCCCGTCTGTCTCACTGCGTGTCTTATTGGAGCTCACCGCGCGGTGGCACCGTGCGTCAGCCCCCTCCGCGCGCGCCGCACTCTCCGATCCGCTGCTCATACGATGCTGAAGATCTTCAGCGCATCGGGCCGGTTCCTGGGCGGCATTCAGCGATGACAGTTTGATCTCCCACGAAAACCGGTTTGCACCCTCGTACACATCGGGGCTTTACGCACAGCATGGTTCGTGTAGACCAAACGGCACAGAGGCGCACTGAAATGGGACTTGGAAAGTTACTTATGCCGAATGAAGCTTATTCTTCATCTGGGCGGACTCAGTGAACGGGAGGTTCTTCACTGGCAAAAGACTCGTCTTGGGGATAACAACAGCATTCGCCTGGAGCAGAGACTAACTTTTGGTTATTGGAATGAGAATAACATAGCATTATTGATTATGAGCGAATTATCACCCGTCTAATCACATTGTAGGAGCCGTTATCAACTGTTCGTGAACTAGAGGCGTTTGCGCTGTGGATTGGGAATATACTGTTTGATCAAACATTTAAGTAAATTCATGAGAGTAGAAACAGTGGATACAAAGGGAGGAAAGTATATGTGATTACTGAAAAACCAATATATCTGTGCACTGGAGACGTAAACTGTGCATGCGTAATTGCGCAAAGTTGTAATCTAAACAAACTCGCACCTACAACGGAGTTTAACGATATTCAAGTTTGAGACATAAATGTGAAGGATTAGTCTTTTACTGAGTTGCACGCGACCTCGCTTCTTTGAGCAAAGACGCGAAAGAGACACTCGAAAATTACGCGCACAACTGTGGCTGGACGGTGGAGGAGCAACATGTACCCGGCGTACCGGACAAACGCGTTCAGTATCTCTCCATCTGCTCATCTGGCAATGTGTGGGAATTCGGGAAAAGCGAGAAAGAGACCCTGTTGGATTGTAATATTGCTGTCGGTGATCCTACAACTGGCGTCAGCACAAGGTAAAGAGTGCTTGTTTAAGTTGGTGTTTAAGTGATCTGTATCCAGAGTGAGTCTAAGGGACTGTATCATTTAACCCCCGAGTTTTGTATTCGGGTAATAACAGTTTGAAAGCAAGGTATCTTTAATGATAAATTGTAATATATGCAGATGAATTTACCATTTGCAACGGCCAATTAAATGAGAACCTTATATTATTAATGCACAAAAATCTTGCACCATCTTTACTTATGTGAGGGATGTGTCATGCAGTTCTGCATGCTCTCTTTCTCTAATCTTTTATCTCTCTCTGTCTCATGGAGACACTGTACAGCAGTGGTTGACAATCCTGGTTCCTACCCCATCACTGCACATTTTGGATGTCTCCCTTATCTGACACACCGATTCCAAGGCTTGGAAGCCTATAATGATCGTAAGATATAAATCAGGTGAGTTAAAAAAGGGAGACCTCCAAAATGTGCAGACTACTAAGTCCTCCAATACCAAAACACACATGCTGTCTTTGCAATCACAAATCTGCATTTAGAAGTGTGTTAAAGTTCATATCACATGCAGCAACTGTGTATACATGACATTAACCTAAGCCAATTAATAAGTCTGTAGATTACCTTCAAAATGAATGAACTTATGCCTTACGACTGCACATAACGAGAAAGCACTTAGAAGAGTGTTTTCATAAGGTGCATGTTCATGATAAGCAGATTATACATTATATGCTGACAGATTCTAATGTGAGATGATTTGTAGTGGGGACTTGCAAAAAGTGCATGGCATATAACTAAACGTATACACATATGAATATCTAGATCAGAGACATAAAAGATACACATAGGTGAATGAATGAGAAGCACAGAGCCCATTTCAATAAAAAGAAAGAAAAAAAGAAAGAAATCTTCAGAGTGCAAGGCATTTTAACTGGCCACTTGTGGTAATTTGCCTCTCTTTTCAGCTGATAGCCTCAAGCGGGGAAAATTGTTTTCGTCTAAATTTTGCAGACAGCAGGCGAGTAACAGAAGCTCGCATGAGCAGTCGCTTCCATTCTTTCTGCCTGGAAAAGCATAGAAGCAATATACTCGAATCCCTTGCATGGTGAAAAAAAAATGTATATATTGGCTGGGTGGGCGATGATGGATCAAATGAAAATGTCTACACAGGTGCACAAAATGTTTTATATTTTCTAATATTTTTTCCCCAATATATCGTCCCCACTGTAATGCAATGCAGCTGAAATGTATTACTGAAAAGTTTCTCTCAGCTTTGCCGGTTTTCTCCAAGCGTAGCTAGGCTGCTTAGGTAGTAGTTATGCAAGCACAGGTGGGAGTGTTGGGAATGCGTGATAGCTGCAAACACTAAGCCCTGGATCGGGAAATAGGCTGTTCTGTAATGCTACCAAGGGAGTAAACCGTGGCAAACTAGGACGTGCCATATATCCATCATTCATGAGTGTATGCTGTCCAACCTGACATTTACAGTAGAGTGATAACTTGCACATTGGGAGGATTAGGGGGGTACCAGTTTGTGTATATGTGCGTGGAAGGAAAACGGAGCAAGAAGAGCAGAGAGAGAGGGAATGTGTGTGTTATACTAACCTGCTCTATAATGATCTGTGGCATCGGTTGATCCGTTCAAGTTAATCGTCTCCAACCTCACAGGTTGTTCAGGGACGTCAGGGACTCTCACCTAAAGATCATTAAAACAGATTCCCACCACAGCGCTTATGAAGCTCCCTGAATCTTGCAGAGGTTTTAATGAAAAAAATCATTTGAGAAACTCCCATTCGTTAGAGAGAAAATAAAGCCCCCTGTCTGAGATAAATGGGAATATTACCTAAAGAGAACCTTGAGGTCTTTATATTGACTTCTTCTGTACAGACTGCATAAATAAGTGTTAAACAGCCTTAAGGAGATAGATCAACTTAGAATTTAAATTCAGTTGACACTATTTACTGACCCTTATGTCATTGCAAACCTGTACGCTCTTATTTTCTCCATACAATGCAATGAAAAAAAAATAAATATAAATGCAGAATATATATTTTTTTCTATTTGGGCTGTTATGCTCCAAAAACCACTATAATAACACCATAAGCACAGTTCATGCAAACCGTGTGCCGCTACTACATTTGATGAATAACAACTTTGTGATGTTAAAAATTGTGTATGAATGTGTGTAGTATGAATCAAATCCGAACGTACACTACATGCGTCATGTTGGCATCATCATATGGCCAACGGAGTCAGTTGTGTCACTTGACATTTCACCAGAAGTATACATCATCCATCTACTGTTTTATGGATACTGAATTTGAACATACTGGTAACACTTCATTTTAGTGTCCTTGTTACACGTGTTAAATGTAGTTACTATAGTAATATATATATATAAAGTATGCATAAATCCTAGCCCTTCCCTTATAGTAAGTGCAATTGAAGAGTTCAGATGCAAAAGCCTCTAAGTGCCATTTGAAATTTTCTTCTAGAATGATCATTTTTATCAAGCTTGTATATTTAACTTCAGTGATTTCACTTAAATGGCAATGATAATTAATTGTTATTTAAGTGAAGTTACTGAACTTAAATATACAAGTTTGATAAAAATCATCATTAAAGAAGAAATTTTCAAATAGCATTTAGAGGCTTTTGCATCTGAACTCTTCAATTATTATTACTCAGTACTAGACATGTGCCGGTATTCGGTAATGCGATAAATCGCGGTAATGAATATGCACGATATTGTTATCGCGGGCTCTTCAAAATACCGTGGAAAATAATAGATTCGAATTTAGACTTTTAGAGCGCGCATTAGCTGCTTATTTTCCTTCAACCGCTCAAACACTGCGTGCTGCGCAGAACACGCGCGCACTCTGATGTAAACAATCCCCACATCGCGCATTCCGCGTCCTGTCTGAAAGGCGCTTAACGCATTTGACACTTTTCACACGCTCTCCCACAGAGAAAAATCACAGAGCAAAGAGGACACTGACACCGACAGACTAGACAGAGCAGGTTACTTTTGATATGAAAGTTGTTATTGATAAATTGAAGTTGATAAATCAGCTCTTAGGTTCTGATCACAGATCGTTGCTCCTCAGTTCAAGTAAACCGATCATCATGTTACTTTCGTTTTTATTTAAAGATACAGTATAACTTACCGAAAGGTATATTTACTTGTACATAATAACGATCAATCAGTGTTTTCAAACACGGAAAGAGGTCAGTAACACTGCAGGAGAACAGTTGTGTCAAAACGTTACATTTACCTCAGGAAAGCCATTTAATGACCAGCACATTAGAAAATAGCAAGGAGTAATTTGCTAAATATTATATTTAATTTCTCTCTGTATGTTTACAGCATTATGTGAGGTTTTTTTTCTTGAGAAACATTAACAGACTGAGGCCTGCCTAATATTTATCCAAATGAGTCAATATTGAATTAAGACTGAAATCAAATCCAAGAATTTAATTGAATAATACAAACAGTAACCTACCAGTCATTGTAACATGTTGTCACTAAACTTTAAACAATTTGGTTTAGTTTACCATATGTTTTGAAAATCACAATTACACATTGATACAAGTTGAGGTTTTTTTTAGAGACCCACAATGCATCTGTTTTTCTTGAAATATAATTTCATTAAAATATCGTGATAATACCGTATACCGCAATAAAAGCTCAATCAATTAACCGCAGCATGAAAATTTGATACCGGCACATGCCTACTCAGTACTTAAATGTACAATTGCACTGTAACAGACACCTTCAACTAAAGTGTTACCAAACAATACTCATTTCACATACCTTTTTTGCCGGGATCTATGTTTAATCACAAAATATAGACTGAACTTCCACTGAAATTCACTGATGATCATTACTCCTACCATGGCTCACACAACAACTGATATTTCATAAAGATATAATGAGGCACAGCAAAGAAGTTAATCAGTAACCACTGCAGTTAGGAGGAAAAAACAGATTGAAAGTGCAGTCACATTTACCATTGTATGGCAAAATTTGGGCAGTCATTTCAATAGGAATCCATGTGAGTATTGTGCACACAGATTTCACTCATGTTCAGATTCATGTTGAATCACCATGCTGACCAACAGAAAGCTGCTTGCTTTGAAAATCACTTCCGTGTGAGCTGTTGGCAATGGATAATGGACCTTTTCATGTGAAATTTCCTACCGTAACAGCTTTTATCGCTTGTCGTCCCATGCCTGGTAATGACATGGTGTTGGACTAAATGCAAAAAAGGTGTAATCGAAACATGACTTGTTTTGTTTTGCGTGGACATGATACCAAATTTGTCATTCAGTTAGCGAACATGGAGCTTGCCAAGAGACCATAATACATCTAACATATTGATCAGGACCCCTCTGTGTCACTTTTTAATGCACAGGGTACCCCTTTAGCATCATTTTGAGGAGAATGAAGTAAATGATTTGACTTCAGAAGATTAGCTTTGTTAGCATGCTGTTAAACTGTGTGTTTCTCACTTGAGGTTTCAGAAGGAATTTATTGAGTATGGCAGGGTCTGAGATGGTAACTCTCCTGGACTCTTTGCGGAGCATATTCTTATTAGGGCCCGAGCACTAAAAGTGCGAGGACCCTATTGAAACTGTTAGGATTATTATTTTTTTTTTCTTTTTTCTTTTTTCTGCAAAGTAAGCGCCATTTTCGGGGCCGCAACATGCTCAAAAACTCACCAAATTTGACACGCATGCCAGGACTGGTGAAAAATTTCGTATTTTGTGGGTTTCGCGGATGGGCGTGGCAAAATGGCACGCTAGCGCCACCTAGAATATTTGAAAAAATTAGCCCCTCGTCCACGTTTAACCTACATGCACGAAATTTGGTGGGGACGTGTATCATATCAAGACGCACAAAAAAGCCTCAAGAACCCATACCCTAAACTCGACAGGAAGTCCGCCATTTTGAATTTGGCGGCCATTTTTGGACGATTTACACATTCCGTACTTTAACGAACTCCTCCTAGGGATTT